TAAAAACATCACAATAATCCACAAGTAATCCACAGCACTCCAGTCCATCAGTTAACATCTGGAGAAGACAAAAGCTGAAACAAATCCAGCATTAAGATATTTTAACTTCAAACTTTTTTGTTGTTTTAGCTTATTTTCATGCTTGTTTTATCTTATTTTAAATAATTTTAAGTCATGTTTTGAGACCCACTGATCTAGATCAATCACAATCAATAATATCATGTATATGGATGGATATATATATACACAGTATATATATATATATATATATAATCAGTCATCCAGTTTCTCTGTCTCTGTGCTGTAGTGTGTGTCAGCTGTGTGGAGTTTATGATGAAGGTAATTTCAGCTTCAGAAACGCCTGGACGTACCTCATTATCGTCAACAACGCCTCACAGCTGGTAACCAACATTTATTCATTTATAAATATAATTTATATTATAGTCACAGACTGTGGCACTAAGAAAATGTATCAATGCATTGCTGATACTGACACATGCTAATGGTGTAATATAGTAATTATATGCTATAGTAGTCAAATGTCTGGAAGTACTATAAGGAAGATTGGTTTGATTTGATTGTTTTGTGTTGAGTTTGCGATGTACTGCCTGCTGCTGTTCTACCGAACATTGAGAGAAGAGCTGAAGCCTCTGCTCTGCGTCAAACTCGTCGTCTTTGTGTCCTTCTGGTACGTTCATGTTCACACAGAATCATTCAAACACACACTAATGGTTGCTAGGGCGTTGCTATGTGGTACTGGGCTGTTGCTAGGGTGTTTCTAGGCAGTCTGTAGGGTTTTCTTGGTGGTTGCTAGGGGGTTGTTAGGCAGTTGGTTGCAAGGCAGGTGATAGGTGTTATAGATGGTTGCTAGGGCATTGCTATGTAGATCTTTAACAGACATCTTGCAGACGTACCTGTGCTATCTGGGATGTGTCTTATATTACAGACATTATGTATTTACCTCCTACGAACTAATAATCCCAGCCACCAGGGAACGTTCTCAGAACTTTGGTTAAGGTTCTCTCACGAACATTCTTCCAGTAACGTTAATAGAATGTTTGCTCAAAGTTCTCTGGTCTTTAAGAGTGTTCTCAAAACATTAGCACAAAAACATTATTTATACTTCATTCCTGAAACGCTTTAGTTGGACATTTACCTTAAGTTTTTTTTAAAAATGTTACTAGTTTTAGAATGTTCAGAGAACATTCAAAAGTAACATTGCCCTAATGTTTGCAAAATGATCAAATAGAACCAAAAAAAAAAAAAACAATGTTTCTAAACATTAACAAACTGGATGTTTAGAACGTTCAGAGAACATTTTATAACATCACGGAAACATTAGGAAAACATTTTAGTTGGATGTACATCTAACTTTTTTTTTTTTTTTGAAAGTTACTACTTGTTTCAAAACATTCAGAAATAACGTTTTCATAACGTTATTATAACTTTCTTAGAACATATTTTTGTTAGCTGGTCAGTAGAGGAGAAGGAATATTTACTAAATATTTGCTAAAAAAAAAAAAAGGTCTTCTGACATATTTGTCAGCTTTTCTTTTAGGTGTCATCTAATCCAAAACGACTCGCGTTAGCTCTGGTGACATTATCGCAGTGGCCTTTTCCAGTTATCAAAGAGGTGTCTTTTGTTCGGAATATGTAAATATACATGTAAATGAATATGTGAAGTTTACCTTTCATATAAACAACTTTCAGGATCTGAAATCGGATTGGATTCATTCAGACTGAAGAAAATGAGTGCATGTAAACAAACTGCCTCGATGCTGCGGTGGTTGTTGTGGTGTTGCTATGCAGTTGCTAAGGTGTTCTGAGTGTCTATGGGATGTAATACTTAGTGCTAGAGGTTGCAGCATGTGGCTAACACTAAAATATGAGAACTTAGTAAATCGATGGCTGACTTAGCAAACACCACTAATAACAGGATGGAAGATGAAGAGAGACGGTGGTCTGGTCTGGTCTGGTCTCTGTGTTGAGGTTTGTGGTGGTGATCAGGGTTTCTCTTCTTCTGCGCCTCCGGAGAGATTCATCAGACTACTGCCAGCTGTCATCTACACACAATCAGATGTTACACTCAACATTTACAGCATTTATTTGAAATAGAAATCTTTTGTAACATGAATGTCTAAATGTTATTTAATGCTAAATATAAGACATTTCTTAAAAAAATATATATATATATAACAAATGTTACCATGGAGATGATCCACATGTAACAGAGGAAACGAGACACAGTGTATCAGCTGAAGGTAATTATGGTATGTGTGTGTGTGTGTGTGTGTGTCACCTCAGCCTCTGCTGCTGTGCTGTTGTGTGTGTTTTCTGATTCAACACCATCTTCCATCTCACACGCCATGTTGGTGTCCATCATCGCATCGTCCTGCTCACACACAACAACATTTACATAACGGTAAGATTTTCTGAAAGAAGTCTCTCTCTTCTGCTCACCGAGGCTGCATTGATTTGATCAAAAGTGCTGTAAAAATAGTGAAATATTATTCTAATTTAAAACAGCAGTTTTCTGTGTGAATATCTGTTAAACTGTAATTTATTTCTGTGATGCGCAGCTGTATTTTCAGCATCATTACTCCAGTCTTCAGTGTCACATGATTTTCAGAAATCATTCTAATATGCTGATCTGCTGCTCGAGAAACATTTCTGATTATTATCAATGTTGAAAACATTGTAACATTATAAATGTCACTTTTGAGCAATTTAATGCATCCTTGATGTATAATAGTACTAATTTGTTTTTTAAAATGATACACTGTGCACAGAATGAGAATGTTAGTGTGTGTGTGTGTGAGAGAGTGTGTGTGTGAGAGTGTGTGTGAGTATCTCCTCACCTGCATCCACAGGTGTTTCAGCACCTCGTCAGCCGTGTAACGAGCACCGACATTCACTTGCAACATCTTACCAATTAAATCCTGCAAAAGACACATCAGATTCTTATGGAAGCTTGTTTTTGCCACGGAATAAAAGAATAAAACAAGTAACTAGGTGCGTCCCAAATCACATACTTATGCACTATTCTATGACGTTTTGTAGTATAAATAGTGTGAGTAGTGCGTTCACACTGAAAATTCCAAAAAGAATCTGACTTAAAAAAAAAAAAAAAAAGTAGTAAAGGTAATTGCACAATTTGAACTTCTCAGAATTGCAAGTTTATGTTGCAGGAAAAAATCTGAATTGTGAGATATAAACTCGCAAATACCTTTTTTTTTTATTCTGTGGCTCAACAATTCAAAACTTGAAAGTAAGCAGTAAAAGTGAGCGCTGAATGAGCGTTTATTCTGTGTTTGTGTGGTTGTTCTTTGCAAACCTTAGCAGAGAGGCTGATGTTGTCCCAGTACGGCGAGGGAAACTCCAGTCTGCCCAGTAAGATCTGCTCGAACAGCTCCTCCTGCTGGTTCTTCTCGCTGCGGAACGGAGGAAAGCCACACAGCAAGATGTATGTGATCACACCCGCAGCCCAGATGTCCACCTTCAGCCCGTACCTGCAGCACACACATGCTTTCACTCCACTGAACACTAAACACTAAACACTATGTGCTCTCGCTCCAGCTATCAGCACAAACCACTGTTTCTTGTCATTTAAAGTAGTTAAGTTAGTCGCACTAACCTGTTAAAAATGAAGTGAGCTATGTTACAGATGATATAATCACTATCATTACAAACAGAAATATTTCTTTGGCACCAAACAGGGTTATTATAGTTAACTAAAACCTTTAAAAAAATGTTTGTAACTTAAACTTATTTTATTTCAGCTAGTTGCCAAGGAAGTATTTCTAATTTTCATTTAGTTTACTTTGATGTACTAAAATAACTAAAACGTGAATAAAAACTTAAAGGGGTCATATGATGCGATTTCAATTTTTCCTTTCTCTTTGGAGTGTTACAAGCTCTTGGTGCATAAAGAAGATCTGTAAAGTTGCAAACACTAAAGTCTCAAATCCAAAGAGATATTCTTTATAAAAGTTAAGAGTCAGTCACGCCTACCTAAAACGGCTCGTTCTAACACACCCCCACGTTTGAGAGAGGCGGGGCATAGAGGACCTACAATAATGTACAGTATTTGAAAAATAATGTGTTTTTTGAACATTAAAGCATGTCAACATATTCTGTTACACCAAATACACAAAATAATGATCTTTAAAATAGCATCATATGACCCCTTTAATAACAATTACAAATAAAGCAATAACCCCCAAGAAGCCGTGGTTTACAGTGAATTTATAGTGAAGCGGAGTGCCTAAAACCCCCTTAGCTGTTATAAATTCACTGTAAACCACGGCTTCACGGGGATTATTGCTTTTATAAAACTGTTATTCCATATACGTAGCAAGGTTTCACAAAATAAAACGGAGCAAATAAAGTGTAATGATATTAATAAAAACAGTATTCTTCCACCAAACAATGTAGTTCCTCAGAAACAGTTGTGGTTGCTACAAAGTGGTTGCCGAGCAACAGACAAACATAAACAAAGGTGTATGTTACTTTGTAGAGTAATTTACAACAGCTTCGAACCTGATTCAGCCAATCAGAATCAAGGACCGGAACTCTCCGCTTTATAAAACAAAATTACTAACACTTTAACTAAAATAAAAATGAAAACAGAAAATATGAAAACAAATTCAAATATATAATAATAAAAACAGTATAATAGTATATCAATGATACTAAAATAACACTTGTACAAAAACACTGAGGGGTTTTGAATTAATGCACTGCAAAATGCCTATTTTTATTTATTTATTTACACTATTTCTGTGGTAAGAAAACAAGAATTATTATGCTATTTTGCATTTCCAGTAAATGTATCTTGATTTAAGAAAATGTAGATATCTGTACTGGAAAACAAGACAAAAATATAGAGGAAGAACATCACTTATGAAGTATAAACTAAGGATGACAGCATTAAAATTAAATGTACAATAAACACAAGCAAGATCAGCAATTCATTAAATATTTCTCTATAAAACACCTAAAATCCTTCACAAAGAATCACTGAATAATTTTTATGAACTGCTTCATTTACATGCATCATCCAAGTGAACCAGTTCACTAAAACGAATCATAAGAAAAAGTTTGCTTAAACTTTGCATATGTGTTTTATGTCTTGTATCATATTTGCTCCATCAGGCTTTTATGGCTCATATAGTCTGATACAGTGAGAATACGGAGGGGAAAAAACTGACATAAACTGATCTAAATATCAGCGGTCACTCTATATCTGCAGTAATCTGTCTCAGTGAGATGAGATTGAAATGCTCCAAACATATAATGCAGTGATTGAGAGCTGAAGAAATAAAGGCTCCTCAGAAGATGTGAGATGTTCTGGAGGCTTGTGAAGATCATTCCTCCGCTGAGGAACAGTGAAAGTAAAGCTTCTGGAAACAAACGCTCCTCAAAAGATCCTGAGGATCAGATTTGAGACTCTAAAACATGATTGATGGAGAATCAAGTAAAGCTGAGCTGCTTCAGTCCAGTAAGTGTTCATCTGGAGATATTACTGCAGTTATTCTGACGCTTACTTGATCAAAACCAGTCAAGATCTGACACGAGAAGCTCCAGCTACAGTTACACTAAAAGAGCTTCGACTGGATAAACACTCTAAACTATCAATCAGAGACAGAAAACATGAGGAGATTGTGTGTGACTATCTAGAGACCTTAGGCCTTACAAATTTACATAAAATAATGAAATAGTAGTTTTATAGGCTAAGTTTTACCCGCTCTCTGCGATGATCTCCGGTGCGACGTACGTAGGTGTCCCGCAGACGGTGTACAGCGGTCCCTCCACCGCCGTCGCCAGACCAAAATCACCCAGTTTCAGAGACTTGGTGCCGTCTGGATACTCACACACCTGCACACACACAGATGTGTGTTTATACTCCGTATGTGTGTGTGTGTGTGTGTGTGTGTGTGTGTGAGTGTGTG